CGCGGGGCGCCAAAGGCTCTAGAGCCGGCCCTGTGAAACAGAAATGAAAGATGACAAGAGATATTTCAAACCGAGATTTTCACGACGTTTCGGTAGTTTGTTACTCATTTGTCTTCGGTGCTGGATTATTCTTAGACGGTGAAAGGGGAAATGAACTTTGAAAAATTTTCAATAGAAAAGTTAGGTGCGAAAATACGAGTAAGTGTGAAAACTCTTCTCAATAAAATTTTTTTATGAATCGTTACAAAGATATACGACGTTATCACGAATGCGATTTCATTTCCTGCTTATCTGGAATAAATGTGTTTACACAAGTCTTTTTATAAGCGAGCGTGTCGAAACGATATGCGGTAGTGTTAAATCGGATCTACTGATACTTACTGAGTGTTTTATGCCAATAATGATGGACTTGATGATAACGATCGACAATATTTCATTAGTTTTCCTGTGATATTACTCAGTAATAATAGCTCAAGTGTTTTTTGGAAAATGGTTTTCTTTTTAGTGATAGATTTGGGGATCCAAACGTTTTGCTATTTCGTTTACAAAAAATTACTAAATTTGTGCTTCGATTGCTTGCAGGTGTATTTGAAATTTCGTGAGTATTTTTTTTTCTGATTGATTCGACTGTTACTTGATGAAGATCTATAGTAATTTCCTAAACTACATCTTGTTCTTTGATCTCCACAAACTTTATTTGACATTTTTTTAAAATAAAGTTTGTAGAGATCAAATCGTTAGGTGTAGTTTATGAAATCCATAATAACTCTTTTCATGAAATAATATGAAAAATCGAAGAGTCACGTCCGTTTAAGAGGGTGGTGATTTAGGGCTGAGAGACTTGAGATAGTAGTTGATTTTCCAACACAGGCGGATCATGTGCAATATTTTTTCTGTATGTGGCATTGGAGTGGATGTCGATGGTAGATCAGGATAAGATGTTTTTTTTTGGGAAAGAAAGTTTTTGGCTTTCTACTACTCCATCTTGAAACAAAAAAAGATGAGGGAATCTTCCAAAGAAAGGAAGGAAGTAATCAATTTGAAAATAAGTAACTCTATACATGGATGTGTAGATCATGCAAAGAAGTAACTTTCAGACACAAACTGAAAGAATGTCCTCCTGAAATTACATATTAAAATTGAATTACTCGAAAGAAAAAAATTCTTTCGAAACAAATACTTCTATATGAACACTGAATTATACAGAAGATACTTTTCTTTACTCAGTTTGTATTTCAAACATTCGTTGTGGAATAAAATCAGATATAAGTCACATGAGTTCTACTTTAAATGAATGGTAATAAATTGCACTTACATGGAACACTGTCATCCTCACCGGTATACATCGATGTTTCGCCGTAAGACACTTGCCTTAACGTTCTTCAGTACCAAATTGGATAACATTATAGAAAATACACACAATTCATTCATGAATTACGATTTTTAATATCACGGAGTAAGCTTGATCTGCTTATGTCATCGATGACATCGTAATGACATTCATTCACCTATTTGATTTAATCCCAGCCAAGAGGAATCTTATTTGAATCGACTATATTTTTAGGGGTGATTAATTTTTGGGCAAGTGTCTTACGGCGAAACATCAATGTATACCAGTGATCCGATGAAGCAGGTTGTAGCTTTTGCGGTGTCACTAAGTCAACGACGTCATAAAAAAATTGACCTTGAGAAGCTGGTTATTCAAATTACTTAATTTTGAATGAAATTGTATTGACTTTTATTAAAATCAAATGAGAGACAATTCTCTCTGCAGCTACTGAGGAGTTCTGCAAAGCTAATACCCGTTTTACTGCTTGAGCAAGATCACTGAACATTGGTTCATCAAGATATTTTTTTCGGTTATTATTGTATTCCAAAATTCATATACATCTAAAATGTGATAGGTAGTTCTTCCCGACCTCACTAGCTAAAGCTATTTTGTGTTCAAAATAGCCTCTGCAATCGATATATTGTTGCCTAAGGTGACTTTTTTAGGATTAAACAAGGATGCAAACTTCCAACCATTCATTATCAATATTAATCCTATTTTAAATTTATCGATACAGTTCCACATTGAAATCTAGTGCACGGCGTTGAAAACTTAACAACTGATGTTGGTCGATGTTATTACTGTGCTCACATAAATAAACTTTTAATTTCGTTTCAAAGTCGCCAGAATGCTAAATTTTACAAAATACCTACTTCACCATCTCTATTCGATCTGATTTTGATCCAGACATTGAAATTTCCAAAAACAACCTTTCTCTTTCTTTTTTCTATGGTCTTTGCTTTCCTTACGGCGCAATAGGAAAACAAAACATTGCTGGTACTATCAATAATTCTAGTCCAGCGTCAAAATCGATTATTGTTTTTATATTGTTATAATTTGCCGTTTTCGGTGTTCATCTTCTTCAGTATATGTAAGAACCGATGAATGCCTCGCGACTTGGGCCTGCAGGTGTACAAAATTCAACTGACCAAGGAACTGAAGGTAAACGACCATACAACAACATGTTCGGTGAAGGGGCTCTGTAATAATAATAATAATAATAACTTTATTAATTCCTTTAGGATCACAATGTGATATAGGACAAGTCAGTGAAAAACATAGATAAATAAACTTCAAAATACAGATATGACGAAACAATAAACATAGAAATTTTTGATTTAAAATTTTGAACAAACTTTTAAAACTTTTAAAATGCTTAAACAATACACATAAGCAATACACATATGAGCATTTCAATCACTTCTGTTCACATATTCGACGACACTGTAGAAACATCTGGAAATCAAAAACTCTTTCAGTTTTGCTTTGAAAATACCTGGGGTTTCTTCCGTCCGTACCTCAACCGGAGGTTTGTTATAAAATTTTGTCCCTGCATAGGAAGGGCAATTTTCGAAAAATGCAGTCGAGTGCTTTTTTAATCTGATTTTATTCTTTTGTCTAGTAGGATAGGTATGAAAATCTGAGTTTTGAAGGTGCGTGTCATATTTCTTCATAAACAAACAAACGCATTTATAAATATATATACAAGGTAAACACATGATTCTATTTTCAATAAAAATTTGTTTGCACGAATCTCTATAGGCAAGATTGAATATCAAACGAATAACTTTTTTTTGGGAGACAAAAATTCTGTTTATATCAGAAGAACAGCCCAACACTGCTATATTGTTGGAAATATGAGGATAGAATATGGCATAATAAACATTTAACAGCTGAGATTTATTAAAAATTGAAGTTAACTGTCTTAGGGCATAGTATGCGCTGTTAAGTTTATTATTCACTTGATTAATGCTAGATTGAAATGACATATCACTATCTATGCATATGCCAAGAAATTTAGTTTTTTCTGATGAGTTGATGAGATCATTATTGACTTTGACCTGTAAATTTTTTATTTTTCTCTGGTTTCTGTAATGGAACTGCAACAAAACAGTTTTCTTCGAATTTACAATTAAAGAATTCCTGCGACACCAGCTTGTGAATTCTACAGATAATTTGTTGAGTTTGTCCTGGAGTTCCTCAGGACTATTTGCATCAGTGGCAAGTGTCGAGTCGTCAGCATATAAGACTACAGAATCTGTACTAATATGGTTTGGCATATCATTTACATACAATAAAAAAATTAGTGGGCCCAAAATGGATCCTTGCGGAACACCTAAATCCATATTATATGACAAAGACTGCTTTTCTTTTACTTTCACATGTATTCTTCTGAATGTTAAATACGATTTTAACCACAGGAGAAAATTACCCCTGAAGCCAAGGGAATGCAACTTGCTTAGAATTATATTCAAATCAATGACATCAAATGCTTTCGATAGATCAAAAAAAAGTGCCCCAACATATTTTCTCTGGTCCAGTGCATCATAAACGTACTTGAAAAAAATATATGCAGCACTTTCAGTTGACCTACCTGGGCAAAACCCATGCTGATGTTTGGAAATAATATCAAATTTTTCTATAAATGACAGCATTTTAGAATGAACACATTTCTCAAAAACTTTACACAGTGCTGTTTGTACTGTTATTGGTCTGTAGTTTTCAATTTCCTCATCCTCAGCGATGAGGCCAATTTTTGGATGAATAGGTACGTGAATAAACAAAATTGCCGAATTTGGAAAGATACCAATCCATTTGAGATCCAAGAGCGTCCAATGCATCCCAAAAAATCACTGTTTGAGGTGGATTTTGGACTGGTGACGTCATCGAACCATATTTCTTTGAGAATGACGTTAGCTAGACCATCACTGTCGATGATTACCAACTTCTTTTGGCCTGAATCAGATGATCCGCACACCAACGACAGTGCTTAACGAAAGACTCCATATTTGTTTATAGGTTTGTTCTGGTTCTAATATCCGAAACTGTTTAGAAACTGCGTTAGACATGCGTACAAGCAAAAAATCTTAAAGAGTCCGAAATAGTCTCGGACACTTGGTTGAACCAGATCATCATCAATTATTTAAATCAAATAAATAAAAAACATCCTAGAAAATAGCACAAACAAATTTACACATGAATACGCATGAGCAACGAGAACAGTTCTCAATAGTTCAGCTTCGAGAGCAAGAACGATGCGGGACGGTTCAAGATAGTTTAGGATCATTTCGCAGTCGAAATCAGAACAGAGGATCCATCAATCAGAAATTATCCCCAACAAACCGGAACGCTCTACATCAACTGCGTATGATCCTGACGTCCTAGAACCTGAATTTTGTAGAACCAGAACAAACCTTATATAATCAGAATACATTATGTGAAACCCATGCGCGAAAAAAATTGTTGACTAGTGAATCTTGTTTCCAAAGATCCAGAGTAAGCATTTTCTTCTGAAACAAATTTACTGCAAGAATATAAACAATTATCGCTAGTAAGTGCTCGCGTCAGCGCAAAATGAAATTGCACCCATCTTTACTGAACTATCATCAAGACCTACTCCAACGATTCGCTTAACAGTACCATTTACCAGCGTGGTGGAGTGAATGATATGGTCCATGGAAGATTCTTCCGGCTCACACTTCTCTAGCTCTTCAGACCTTCAACCTCGTTTACCGAGCCGACATAAAAAAAACACCGCGTATTCTGCTCCAGTTTACCGCTCGTCTAGAATGCCGTAAAAATACCGTAAGCCATCGCGAAATATTTCGAACGGTGATAATTTTTTCTTCAAATTATGCAACAGTGACGATTGAGATGAAATGTAGTGAATATTGTTCACAAATATTTATCCAGTTGTAAGTAAAAGTGATTTTTGTGTTTATATTTTTGCCATGACGATGGAAACGTGTTTAACAAACGCGAAATATTGCCTGAAGGCTAAGAACAGTGTGGCCAGCAAGAAGAAAAGGTGCGATAAAAAAGTCAAGGAAATTCGAAAACAGGACGAGCACAAGTACAAAAACAGGTGGAGAAATCGTAAGTTTTTGGTTGTAAATACTTAAATGGATGTAAAGTACTACAGACTCTGTGCTGGTTGTAAAACGTGAATCTGTTTCTTTCAATAACAAGACAGCTTGTTGATCAATTAATAATATTTTGTTTTTTTTAATTGAAATATTTTCCTTTTGACATACCATGTATATACAAAACAAAACGAACATATCACAAAAACAAGTTATTACAGTAAAAGAACAAGAAAATACATTTGACAAGAACAAATTAATGCAAAATGAAGTTTTTGGCTTTCTACCAGGTAGTCCAAGAAAAAGTTCTCCGGGAACAGCTACTTTCATATAAACATTGAATTACACGAAAGAAAAATACTTTGAAACAAATACTTAGAATATAGAAGACACTCTCCTCTACTCAGTATTCCAAACAATCGTTATGTATAATTCAGTGTACATATAAAAATATTTGTTTCGAAAGAAGTTTTCTTTCGTGTAATTCAATGTTTATATGAAAGTAGCTGTTTCAGGAGGACTTTCTTTCAGTTGGTGTCTGAAAGTTACTTCTTTGCATGATCTACACATCCATGTA